TCGGCCGCGCAGGCGGGAAGCTTTTTCCCTTGCAGCAAATCTCAGCGTCCCCTGGCAAACGCAGGGAAGAATTAATCCGGATTCTCTTCAGGAAAGTGGGGGTCGGGGGTTTTATCATGGCAGACTGCTGCCCCTCCGGCCCCCCCATCCTTCCAGCCTCCCCTTTCCCACCCCGGAGACTGCTTTCTCCCCAAAGGATCGTCCGGTTCCTGCTGCTTTCCTCCCATGACACGTTTTTAGCTCTCGTGTAGCTGTAGTTGAGGCCTTTCTGGCACCAGGAAGACTGGAGTAACCACCCCGTGTATGTGCAGTCATTGCCACCTACATCTCCGTGCCTGCTGATAGCAACCAGAAAGATTTTTCTTTTTTTTGCAATGCCATCTCCCTGATTTCTGTTTCACGACAACCTACCGTTCCTTTTCCCCTACGCTGATCTGTTCTTCATGTGTACTTGTGCCTGTGGTTTTGCTTTCCTCCATTTTCAGAAAATTTTGTCTTACCCGTTTTTGGCAATACACTGTAATCACCTTGAATTTAAATTCCTCCCCCTCACGCCTTCTGTACACCTTCTGAATTCGTATCATCATCAGATTACATATGTGTCAAAACCTCGTTTAAGTCAACTTCATCAGTTGGTTTGCTTTCTCTTCTTTGTTACACTATCAAAAAAGGAAAGTTATAATATAATTTATTCCCCATAAATCACCGCTGACTGTTTTTTAATCATCTGGATGATGTTATGTGAGTGCATATAGATTTCTTGCATTGTGCTTTGCTGTGGTTTCTTTCTTGGTATTGGAGCTGAGGTGGTCACTTAATTCCCTGGATCTCCCATCTTTTAAACACTGATTTCAAATTGTCCTAATCCAGTCTTCTGAGACCTCCTTCACTAGCCGGGAACTAACAAGGATAACTGCAAATGATTCGGGTTGCCCAGAGAGGTTGTTTGATCTCCATCCTTGGAGGTTTTCAAAGTACAGTTGCATATAGACCTGAGCAACATGGTTGGTCCCTATAGCTGTCCGTGCTTTGAGCAGGAGGTTGGATGAGAGACCTCTGGAAGTCCCTTCCCACCTCAATTACTGTATTTAGCTTCTCTGAACTCTCCTTACTCTGTTCCTTCTTAGGCCTCAGCAGCAATGAGGAAAAGCAGATTTATGCAGCTTCAGGTCTTAAAATTAGCTGTAGATCTCAATGACATGTTGAAGGAAGATGGATATGTTTCTTCTGAACCATTGAGAAAGTGGTGTGCGGTCTCGTAGGCATCCAGCAGCCGTGGAGGCATTTGATGGTTAGGACAAGCAATGTGAGAGGTATTTTGCTGCTAGGTCCAGTTTTGCAAGTGATTCACTGGTGAATCCCAGGTTTTTGAATGCAGGATTCTACATTGTCCTGCTGGAATAAGTGTAAGCATTTAACTATAAGTTTCCCTGGGTTAGTTGAGGTGGATTTGAGCACTGAAGACAGTAACTGATGTCTCAGTCTTAGTCTAGAGGCTGAAGGAGCTGCAGGCATAAAATCTCTTACTTGCTGGCAGTAGTCCATCACTCCCTATGTGTACATTTTTTTACCAGGCTGTTTGTTTCAGTGACTTACTGCTTGCTTTGACTATCATGCTCAACTTAATCTTATCACAGATCTAAACCAATTAACCATTAAGTATTTAACTGATGCTGAGGTCAAGTTTACTCCTGTAAGTCCTGTATCAAATAACCATCATACTCTTAGATCCTTTCATCATGTTTAGAATATAAAACATCTTTTCTTTTCTGTTGGATATAGGAGTGATGTGGGAACCATCTGCTCTGTGTGAAGGACAAGAAATAAAACATTTGATAAAGGGAAGAAACAAAACATCTGATAAATGGAAGCCATGAAGATATCAAAGCGGTTCTTCGCTTTCGGGATTTTCGCATGTGTAGCTGTGTATGTTGCATACATTAAATGGCACTTGGATTCCAAACCAGTCGTGGGAGCAACAGAAGGAGTTGCTGAAAGCAGAGGAGACAAACTGAACCATCAGGCACTGACCACAGATCTCTCGGTCTTTTACGGGATTATGTTTGATGCAGGAAGCACAGGAACTCGCATCCATATTTTTAAATTTGCACAGCAACCAAGAGGTATGGCCTGCTAGTTGCGTGATAGATTAATTCTTCTGTAATGTATAGAGCAGATTACTGATGATTCTTTTCTAGGGATTACTTGAACAAACATGCTTCAGCTCTTTCTAGAGAGCCATCGGGAAGTATATTGTGATTCAAGCATGTGGGTTTGGATGAAATTATGAAAACATTCAACAAGGAGAAAATGCTGAAATGTCAGAATATGAACTAAATAGCAGCTGTACTTTTAGAATGGTGCCTTGAAGAAGAGCAGTTTTTCATCACACTGCTTGGTGGAAGAGAGCATTATAAGTTCAAACAGCCTTATTCCCCCAAATTTTCACAAGGAGGTTGTTGGCTATCTCCAGTTCCTGGCAGTGAGCTGCTTCTCTCTGCATTGTCTGGTTTAGTGCATCTTTGACTTCAGTGTTCGATTTAAATTGCGAAACTTCACCATTTGATTAAAATTGCTGTATATTGCATCTGGACAGAAAGTATTGCTGAGGAGCGAGACATAAGTGTACAAAAAAGCTCCAGTTTTCCTCTGGAGTCATAAGCTTCATTTGTTTAGGTGTTGTCATCTCCTATTTGTGAAACTTAAAGATGAAAGAACTTGTGTGGATGCTGTTAGTAGGTGATCTGAGGGTGCTTTTAAGGATTAGCAGTGTGGTGTATGGTGTGATGGGCCTGTTGGGAGCCCGTTAGGTTTGCAGAATGGGTTAGTCTAAGGCTTAGCGACCAAAGGCGTTAAACAGCAGTCCATAGATTTCCTTCTTTCAGTGTATTCCTGAATCTTTGCTTCTTCCTTGCCTGCCCGAAACACAAGTTCAGAATATATTGCAGGAAACTTTATAGAGTGTAGTTGTGTACAGGAAGAGGATGTTGTCAAGCTCATGTTGTCTTGCCTGCAGGTTCATATAATTGTCTATGCTGCAGGTTTCTAAAATACTTAGGTCTGGCTCCCTCTGCTGCCGTTGAAAGTGGTGGTAAAACTTCCACTGAGTTTTGCTGGAGTCAAGTTTAGCCAGGGCAGAGCACGCTGAAAGGTGGGTCTTTGTTACGGGTGCCGTTTGGAAAGCTGGATGTGGCAGGTGTAAGAGCTCAAAGAGAACTTGCACCCATCTGGTGATTGCCTGATGTGCGTGAAAAGTGTATGCATAGTGGGCACCAGTGCCTGAAAAACAGTCAGGACTTAAAAGTTGTTTTCTTGGGAGTTAATTCCATAGCAAGGGCTGTATTTAAAGGTCAGGTGGCTGTTGATAGTTCATTAGACAGAGGCTTCAGTTGACTTCCATTAGCAGGTAATGATGTAATTTGTAAAATGGTTTTCTTTTTCTGTACGCAAAATTATTTGTACCGTTACTTATTTTGGAATACTGCTTTTGAACAGAGACTCCCAAGTTAACCCATGAGACGTTTAAAGCACTGAAGCCAGGTCTATCCGCATATGCCGATGATGTAGAAAAGGTAATTTTTGTTTCTGTTACTGTAAAAGTACGTGCCCCGAAACCTCCTGTTTTTAATATGCCCTGCAAATTACATCTTTCTGTGGTACAGTGTGCTGAACTGTCTCAGTTCAGGGAAGTGTCTCCAAATGATACAAGTCTACAGGAAAAATTGGTTGACAAGCAGAGGAGGAAGGAACAGAATGCATCCAGTTCTGCTTGGCGATGTTAATTAAGCACAGTGGATATTTCTCCTATCTCTGCCTTAAGAATTTCGATGCGCTTAAGAAAAAGACAAAAAAGCTGTTTTGAATTGGAGCAGAGCCTCCTCCAAAAGTGACCAGAGTTGGATTCTCAGGAAAATAGTCTGAAAACCAGGCCAAGTACTAAGTGACTTCTTTCCCATCTCCCTTGCCTTCTGGCTCGCAGGTATTTAGAGACTTCCTGAGCCAGACTTACACCCAGCTCCTGGTGTTTTACTGTCTCCAAGAGCCTTTTTTTCCCAAGGATTTGTCATACTGCCTTTTGAACCTTTTGTGGCCAAAACGCTCAGTGGCAGCGAGTTCTATGTCACTATTTGAAAAAGTGACTCTTCCTGTTTGTTTTTGACCTGTTGCTGGATAATCTCTATTATACCCATCAGGTCTCATGCTGTAGGAGATAGTGAGTCCTCCACCTTCTCCTGACCCCTCGTGATCTTCACTTGTCTCTGTTCCACATTTACAGTGACTCATACCTCTGATCACCCTTTTGCCCTTCCAAGAAAGACAAACCTAAAGTTTCTAAGATGCCTTTTTTTTTGGTTCTTTCTGTGCTCACAGAGTGGTCAGGGAATAAAAGAGCTCCTGGAGGTGGCAAAGAAGGAAGTTCCTATGGAGCTGTGGAAGTTTACTCCTCTGGTCCTGAAAGCCACAGCTGGCCTACGGTTGCTGCCAGGAGAGAAAGCTCAGAAGTTGCTGGATAAGGTACTATTTCTTGTCTTTCAGTTTGCTTTCCAGAAATCTTATAGGAAAATTTAGTCCCTTCTGTGTCAGGTACATACTCCTTTATCTTCAGGTACATGAGCCATTCCTGTCATTTAACCCTGACAGCAGTGCAGAGCCACCTGATCTCAAATGAGGTTGGGGGGAGAAATTGCAAGCACAAAGGAATGACAACAACTCCAAATAAGCCTAGAGGAGACATCTAACAAGTGTAATGAGATACTCCTAACAGTCACTACAGGCTTGTTCTTACTGGACCTGTTCATTCGTGGTTTTGACCAGGATGCTGCTATTTTGAGAAAAGCTCTCTGCTATTTGGTTGGTCATGTTATCAGCCTGCTGCTGCAAGGCTGCTCCTTTATATTGATTGGAAATAACATAAATTGTATTTAAAGGCATGTCAAATACGTTTAATATTTTAAAATATTATAAAAATATACAAAATATTATGTTCTAGACCTTATGGCTGTGGGAAAAGTTTACTAAGTGTGCATTAAGTGTACTCTTTCTCTAAGCAATAATTGGAAGGAAGAAATGTGGTGTGGTTGAAATCAATGTCTATATCGTTCTTTGCTGCCTGCAAGCTGGCCCGTTCTTTTCCACACTGGATTTTGACTGGAACTGCTGCACTTGTTACTTTAGAGGACTCTGGAAACCTAGGGCTTTGCTACCTCATGTAGGATGTAGTATAGAGGATCTCTAACAGCCAACATGCTCCTGTTAAAAATGCCGTTCCCTGGGGCATAAAAGCCAGGGTGTCCATCTCCTGCCCATCCCATGCATATATAATACCCTATGGGTCGCCAATTGCAGCAACGTAAACTGGATTCGCTTCCCTACCCATGTCCATCCCTTGTTAATGGCATTTCTAAGCAGTCTTTGTGCTTGAAAACCCACACATCCATCCCTGTCTCTGCACCAAACCGCAGAGCCAGCGTGTAAATCACTGATCTTTTATAGCACAGCACAGGCTGATGCTTGTTGGGCTCTTGAACTTCAAAGTGGTGAGCAGCAGTCAGGATCTGGCCCTAGAAGAGGAGCAGTTGTGTAAAACTGGAAATTTATAAAAACTTGCTTTCCAGCTGAAAAAAAGATTTCTCTGAGTGTAGCTTTTATTTGAACTACAGGTGAAGGAGATTTTTCAGGCCTCCCCTTTCTTCGTGAGGGACGATTGTGTGTCGATAATGAATGGAACCGATGAAGGTAGGTTAATTTGTGGAGACACTTTCTGCAATGCTGCAGATTCTTGCTGCACTGTGACAAGTCCCCACTCACTGTAGTGGGAACCCACAAGCAGCAGGTTTGACACAGTTTTTATGCTGCCTTGGGCAGTGCCTGCCAAAGAGATCTTGTGCTACGTTTTTCAATTTGAACTCCCGAACTCTGTCTGATTTTCAAAGCTCTTGCGTGCTGGGCAGTTCCTGGGGGATCACCAGGAAGCCATTGTGCAGTCAGCACTTCTGGAAAGCTTTTGGAATATCTGCGTGTTGAGAAGGTCTTCAACAACTGGTTTTGCACACCCTGCTCTTGACAATGCTCGTCAGAGCTTTCTGGAAGTATTTGGTCATACTGTTAATTATAACTGATCTAATGAGTGTGTTTGTGAATTCAGTCTGAAAAAATGTTACATAGAGAAAAAAATACATGCTGAGGTAAGTTGATGCTCATCAAAAAATGCTGAGGACAGAACCCAGAAGCAGTCTTGATTTAAAATAATTTGAAGAAACATGTCTAAATTCTAAGTAACTGAGTGTTGGAATGTGTTTTAAATCTACTTAGAAACCACACTTTAAAATAGCTGGAGCTGTTTGGAGCTGTTTATGAGTTTCTTTTTTACTGCTTAATGGAAGAAAGACATTATAATTCTTCTTTTTGTTTCATTTTAAAACCATTAATAGCAGTGACAGGCTTGGTTCAGCCAAGGGTTGAACTGGACCATGTTCCTTACCATGCCTTGAGTTTTAACCACATGGACAAATATTTGCATTTGCTAACATAATGCCCACTAATTCATCTACTTTATGGGGAAAAGGTTTATAAAACAAGAAGAGGACAGAAACAGTGCGGCTCACAAAAATGCTTAGAGGAAAATAGGAAAAATCAGGCCACTGAACAGATGAAAATTCTTAGTATTCAAAAGGGAAGCTTGAATTTTGAATTTTTCAAAAGGAAAGTTTGAAAGTTTGAAGGCCTGACATCACACAAAAGCCTACCAATGGATGTTTTCCTAGGAAACGAACAATGTGTCAGTCATTTCCTTGTCTTTTAGCTAAGGACTGAAGCCGTTGTGACTTCTCACCTAGGTTTTTGACCTGTGAAATACAGAGTTCTCCAGGCATTTCATATATGGGGCTTCTTTTCCAAATACAGAAGGCTATTCTCTTTGCTCAAGGCATCTAATCTTGGTTTTTGACAGTTGTGGAAACACTGACTTTGGGGCAAGGTGGGTCAGGGGAGCCCAGCAGAGCCAGTCCTGTTCACCCTTCTTGAAGGTCCTTCTTGCTTTGACATCCGTTGGAGACTTTGTATTAGAAGCCCTCCCGTTTGTAAAAGAGGGACAAGGGAGCTTGTGGCAGATGGTCTCTGGTGTCTCTGTCTGTTGTTGGATGACAAGCTCTGGTTTGCTGATTATTTTGTTTAGACGGTGCGGTTAAACTGGATGAGAAAACTTAAAAATGCCTTCAGTTAAACAGATCCTAAAGCAGGAAGGCCTTGTAATCCGGCTAGCCTTATTTGTTACTGTTGTTAGATAAAATGAAATGGTATGATCTAACAGTGTGTCTTCTGAATCTTTTCCTTATTAGGTATTTCAGCCTGGATCACAATAAATTTTTTAACAGGTATGTGCATAAACGTATGACCGATGCCATGAAATTCGTGCTGTTTTCTGCCCTGTATGGGATTTGCTCATTCATTGAGGTGGAGTGGGAGAAAGAAGGATCTGGGAATAAGTCAGCAGTTGTTTTTGGCCTGGCCTATTTAAGTCATTAGGATTTTGGCCATTTACTTGACAGAGTGTGGATTTTAAACTCTCTTCCTAGATGTTTAATGTAGCCTTTCTTTCAATTTCCTGTAGGGTACCAGAGCATTTTATTCCTTTTTAGAGTCTGCCACTAGCTCTGGCTAAATTTTTAATGTGGATATTCTGGATGTGCTTGACAGTTGCGCAGAATGAAAGAAAGTGCTATGCTACTTACTTACAGATTTATAACATAGAAATACTGCAGATGTTTATGCTGCTGAGTTAGGAAAGAGTAGCTGAAGAGTAAGGAAAAAACTAGGCTGAAGTCCTCTCTGACAATAACTAAAGCAATCTGCTGTCCGAGCACTGTGTTCAGCACACGCAGTGTGTGGAGCAATATGACAAGTGCTCTAAAGCTTTTTATGCTCACAGGAAATATCAGAAAGGTTGGAGATCTTCAAGCATCAGCTATCGTGAGGTGTACCAAGGTGCTTGGCACAAACTTGTCTTGTCAGACAGGTGTATCTGAAGGATCTAACTGAGAAGGATTGGGATTTAAGTGAGAAGAG